GTGAATTTTCCGCGTTCACGACAGGGTTAAGATTGTGAACTTTTCCCGTACACCGCTGACCAACGTGTTGGATCCCGTCGGCAGCGATACGCCTGCTTATAGGCGAAATAGCAGCCAGTAACCCGCCAAACGCCTTCATATCTCTCATACTTGGGCTTAATTTGCATGTTCCGTGTTAAAGCAGCTTCACCATCCCCGCCCTAAAATCACTGGAGATGAGGCAACCATTAACCCTTTCGATACCATATTCTGAATGATACAGAATACAATTTGCCCGATTTGGTCAGGACTTATCATTCGGATTTTGATAATAGCAAGCTATTTCGCATATGAGGTTTTATAACCAACAGAATTGTGCAAAGTCTAAACAACTTTATTTTAGAGAGTACCAAATGCGATTTGTATAAAACTCAAAGACTACCTTGCTTGGAAAATCAGCGTCCGGGCCATGCTGGAGGCTGCGAACGTGTGGAACATAGTGACGGGCGCGTGCAGAATTGGCATCCTAGGCGTCAGGACGAATTCATCTGTCGAGATAAACGCGCTCTGCAACTCTTGATAAACTTGCTAGACAATGCTACAGTGAAGCTGTTGGGAAATACGACCGGTCTTGGTTAGTGTTCGAACATCTGGAACGACTATATGCTGGAACAAGTACCGTCAGTACTGCGAAATCTCGACGGGAGTTCATCTCGCTTAGTTGCGAAGACGGATCGGACATGCAAGCACACGTAAATCAACTGGAAGATAAAGCAGCAGTTCTGTTGCAGAGACCAATCGATGACGACGAAACGTGCTTACAGATGTTAGAATAACTGCCACGTTCGTGGGCTAGCATTATGATTGCGTGTCAAAACCAGGAAGGACTGAGTTGACAATCGCTACAAGCAAAGCTACTGCTTGAGTACGCCAACAGAAAGGGTTTGAGGAACGCCTCCAGAGTGGCTGCAGCTCACGTAGCGGAGACCGTAATTGATCAAGCACTGACTGTCTCAAGCAAAGGAGCAAATGAAGCAGTTCAAAGACATATCAGGCGGTCTCGGCTCGGTAAGTTGAGGGATCACGAGCAGAACTACCACCCGCGTCGGCAACCACATGATAAGGGCGTCACTTGCTACTATTGTCACGAGGAAGGCCATGTTCGACGAGAACGTCCAATGGAGGCAAGGCACAATGAGGAACGCAACAAGACGGAATCCGCTAAAAACGCAAGTGAAAATGTGACAATTAACAAGAATATGATAAATGGGCATCCGTTGAAATAGTATCAAAAGTTGCTGGAGCCGCACTTAACTCGAGCGACAGCGTACAAGCACGCGGAATGCCGCCCGTAACAAGAATATTAAACGAGCAGCGCCCGCAACCCAAAACCATATACCACCTCATAGCATGCAGTCGCTACAGTCGTTAAACGACCCAGTGTTTGAATGCCATAATTGCGATACTATAGTCGCAACTCAAAACCAGCTCACGAGTGAGCAACATCGTTCGGCAATGGGGGTAATGGTAATGAAGGTACACCAAGGATATAGTCTGGGTGCTAAGGAGCGCAGCGGATCTAGTTGAAAGGTTTGTGGTGGCCCACTGAAGACCACAACGCCATAGAGTCAAGACGCCATGATAGCATAGATTAGAAGGCATTTTGACGTCCACCACGTGCACTCACGTGTCGAAACTTTCCTACAATCGTGTCTAATGCACAATATGTAAAGTATAGCAAGCTTATTCAATGACAGTAGGCTGATACCTATCGAACGAACGCGCGCAATGGTTCCTCACGTTTTGACTTCTTGTCACTTGGAGATAGTCCGAAGGGGATCAATACCTACTTGTCTTGAATAACGAAGCAATGCATTTTACCGAGCTTACATCCTATACCAATCCGGCTAGCACGGCGGTGATCGACGCGATGCTTGCTGGATATATCAGGTTTGTGCTGCTACTTCCATGTTGGATTAGTGATGAGGACCACATCTTAAGAACGGTGGGATGACGTAAGTGTACCGAAGGTCTACGGCATGGCACGATTACACCGTGATCAATAGCCCGTGGACCAATGGGGTTATGGAGCGGGCACATGACGGTATTATTCAAAATCTTCGTGTGCTTTACCTAGCGTACAAGGTAGGCATACATGACTGGACATTTTTCGTACACGGTATCCTTGTTGGGTAATCACAGGGCACAGCAGAAATTGAAATGCCGAGATGGTAAAGCATAAAGTTATAAAACCACCGTTCCAATATAGCCAACTTTAGCTATATTGAACCAGAAGTCTGAAGAAATATATTGGTCCGATTGCAATACTTTCCTGAACAATTCAGTACGTAATTGCAGAAAACTGCACTACACATTGTGGCCGTCGGTGATATTGCAAAATTGTGTTTCAGAACGAAGCGTAATACATAATATGCTCTTAATGACAATATCGTGGGAACTACCAGAGCCACTAGACAAAAATGCTAACCCTACTAGACAGTACCAAAAAATGTGGCACACGTGTTAGTAGTAGTAGACATAAATAGATTACCATAAAACATTTAATTTAATTTCGCAAAATTTATCTCTAGCCTCTACAAGTGACGTCGACCGTATCCCACTTAAAAACTGTATTGATTGAATATCTCTTCTTCAGCATCAACGCCACGAGTATGTAAATGTTCGAGTACTTCATCAGGCCCTAGGATCTATGAATACAGGAGCTGTAAGTAAGCAGCTGTGGCCTAATGGAATTCTGGACGCTGTTGCGTCCGATCTTTCGAAGGATGACAAAAGTCTTGGTGTTCCAGAGATTCCAAGTCCTTTCTTGTGTGCTTACCATTATTTTTTTGTTGTTCGCGCATCGTGTTTTGATGTCAGGCTCAAATACCATTGCACAAGGTGGTTCGGGCTTTGTAAATCTATCAATCGTCCAATGAGCGTGAAAATCGGATTTTTGTAGAGACTTTCCCTCCTGTTGAAGCTGTAGAAGGCGGTGAGGGCACTACAACCCTGTCGAATGGGTGAACATTTTGCTGCATACGTTAGTGATGGGCCAAGTAGCACTG